AAAAAAAAAAGGAGAAAGGGCAGGGCTGGGTTTTGTGTAAAGAGAAGGGATTTCTATCCCAGGGAGTAACTAGTACAATTCTGTCTTAGAGATGTAAACCAAAAGTCAGAGTGAGGTCATCCCCTGATGGTAGAGACCAGAGCAGAGAGGTCCTCATGGGGTGAGGCCCAGAATGCCCTGAAGTTGCACAAGAAGGCTTGGAAGCAGACAAGAGGCCCCTCAGGGAGGCCAAGGGGAGTCACCTGATTCTCAACTCTCAGAGGTTCAGCCCCTCTTCTCTGACCCTAGATGCCTACTAGATGGCCACATCTCACAAACCCTCCCCAACTCACATGTATACTTTAACAGGCCTCAGAGGGTCTGTTTCTTGGAGTCAATGAGTTCCAGGAAGAATTCTGCTTGTGCTAAAACAACAGCAATCTTTTCTGGTGTAAGATGGGTTTTACAGCCGAGCAGAGGAACCCTAGGCTCTCCCTATTCCTCCATAGCCCTTGCCCTCACCAAGCCCCACCACACCCTCACCTGGGAAAACTGTTTCTCTCGCATCTTGACCTCTTTCTCCACCAGCTGCTGCCTCCGGGCACTCTCACTTTGCAGCCTCCGTTCCACCTGCTCACGCCTCCGCCGCTCTTCCTCCAAGGCCTGCCGCCGCAGCTCCATCTCCCGCTCCTGCCCACAAAGCCAAGGTCAGTGCCCATAGCTACCCTCTCCCCACAACCGGCCCTCTTTAGTCATGGGTGGAGCTGCAGGGGGCCCCTACCTTGGGGCTAGGAGGCATTCTCTGTAAAACCCACCCTCTCCAAGAGCTTTACTAGTTAAGGATGAATTCTTTAAAAATTCATCCTTGTGAATTCATCCATGTGACTTCAAACTGGCTTCAAACTTGGCTCTGCCACCCGCTATGGGCTCTGACAAAAAGCATTTAAACTTTCTAAGCCTCAGTTACCTCAGCTGTAAAATGAAGTTAAGTATGGCTATTCCTGGGATTAGAGTGAAAATGAAATGAGATCATGTATATAAATGCCCATCATCAATTCCAGCAGGAAAGCAGTACTCAATAAATATTGGCAATGCCTGTAGCTCAGTGGGTAGGACGCTGGCCACATACACCCAGGCCAGTGGGTTCGAACCCAGCCCGGGACAATTAACAACAATGACAACAGCAACAACAACAACAACAAAAATAGCCAAGCGTTATGGTGGGTGCCTTTAGTCCCAGCTACTTGGGAGGCTGAAGGAAGAGAATCGCTTAAGCCCAAGAGTTGGAGGTTGCTGTGAGCTGTGATAACACGACACTCTACTGAGGGCGACAAAGTGAGACTCTGTCTCAAAAAAAGTCATTATAAAAGGATGTTAAAGGTCTTAAAACCAATCATTAGATATAAAGCACATCAGTGATGCTTTATGTGTCCCAATCAATGACAAATACCTCTATACCATTAACTCTCATTTGCCATTCTGTCTCAGCTCAAAACTCAGCTGACCCTCCTTTCCCTCCATTTACCAAGAGATGTTTACAAAATCGCCATATTTTGATGTAAATAAGAGGCATTCTTTTCTGGTTGGTCCTTCATCTAAACAGTCAGTACCTTTTTCAAAAAAAAAAAAAAAAATCCCTTTGGCTGCTGAGGTCCCATTTTCATCTCAAGAGATGCAGGGCAGGGTGCCTTGCATGGTGGACACAGAACATCTTCTGCAGCTCTTTATTTAACCGCCTTCCTTCCCAGGCACAGATTTCCTCAGGCGGCCTATGCCCCCTTTGCGGAGTCCCAGCTCCATGCCCACGTGAAGGAGTTGTGACTTCCCTAAGCTCCCTCTGCTCCCCAGGGCACCCCCGACACCTCTGCTCTAGCTTGGACATCGGCCTCCTTTTCTAGCCTAGACTTCAACCCCTGCTTCCTGCTTTTCCTGACCATCCCCCAAAGGGTGACCTGACACACAGGTAGAAAGGAATCAAAATTCCTGTGGTTGTCAAAGAGCAAAGAGTCCACAGAAGTAAACTCACAAAGACTGGAAGTTTCCATACAGGAAATTCTCGGTTGGACAATGGCCACTATGCTGCCTTCTCTGTTCCTAAGAGCTAGGACTTGTAAACTTAGCCTATGCCTGTTTGAAGAACACAACCCTTTAAAACACGTTCTATCCCAAGAGAATGCTGCAAGGGTAATGTGGGAGGAAGGGCTTGGTGTGGAACAAGGCCCTCGGCAGGTGGCAGGTAGTTCTGTGTCCCCCCCACCTTCTGGTTCCCTGGTCCAGGTCAGCCTCACCCTCGACTCCATGAGCCGGCTCTTTTCCGCATGAGCCTCTTTCAGCATCTTCTCCATCTCCTCGATCTTCCCCATATCCAGACCACTGGCACTGGGGAGAGAAGGGGAAGAGGGGGCGCATCAAGGAGCCCAGGAGTGGCTGGTGGAGGCAGTGGAGGATCCCAGGGGTGGGGAGCTACCTGGACATGTTGTCGGGGGAGCAGGCTGAGTTGCCCCCCGTGGAGATGCTGGTCTCCATGCTGTCGGAGCTCTCCAGGCTCAGCGTATCATAGGCGTGCTCGCCCTCCTCCCCACGCTCCCGCCCAGCCGGCAGGTGGTGTAGGATGGAGTGGTGCATGAGTGGGGGAAAGCCCGAGGGGCCCGCCGGGAAGGGCGCAGCCCCATGCAGGGCATCCCACTGGCACTGTGCCTCGGCTGCTGCTTTCTGCTTCAGCTCAGCCAGTCGCCGCCGTTGCTCTTCAATCACCTGCTGGCCTGCAGGAGGGACGGTGGGAGTCACCGTGGGATCCCTGCCCACCAGGGGGAAGGGAGACACTGGCAGCATCACAGACCGGGGAGGGGGGGTGAGCAGGGAGAGGTTAACACAGAGCAGCCCCTCGTTCGCCTCCCTGAGGCCCCCAGAGCTGCAGGCCCAGCTGCGCTGCTTCAGTCGCCCGCACAGTCGGCCACAGCCGCACAGTCCGGCTTCAGTGCTCTTTTCGCATCCTGAGCCCACACAGGGCACCAAACCTGCCCGGGTGGCACCCTGGAAGTGTGACAGCCAGCTGGCATCAGCCCACAGCTGAGGACTATATAGGTGGGCAGGACACATGCACCCACCCTGCCAGCTGGGGAAGGAAGAAGGAAGAGAGGGAGGAAGACCATGCACAGCCAGGGCGCCAAGGCAGACCCCCTGCAATGCAGAAGCCAGAGCAACAAGAGCAGGAAATAAAGCAGCAGACACGGGAGAGAGCACAGCTAAAGGCAGGACAGAGGCCAGCTGGACACCCCAACCCAGCTCAGCCTGGGAGCCTGTCTGCAGGAAGTGGCGGCCTGGGCAGGACACATCATGCTGATGTCAGGGCAAGGGCTGCCTGGACAAAGCAACGCCCTCTGTGACCAACGCTCTACCTGCTGGGTCGTCAGTTGGGAGGGGCTCGGCGGGAAGCGACTTGACTGGCGTGGGGGGCCCCGGGCAGAGGGTACGGTAGAGAGACACAGGGATGAGAGGAGAGAGAGGCACAGACATGGACTTTCAAAACAACCAAATTGCACACAAGCAACAAGGACCCCTGGGTCCCCAGAGCCAATATCTCAGGGAACCAATTCTGCAGGTCATCAAATTTATCCCCCTGCCTCCAGGCAAGGCAATGTCTAACCCTATTCAGGTTAACAAGCATTTCCCTTATTCACTATGCTCTCTAGGAAAGAAAATGTCACAGCCTCCCAGGCCTTTAGTCTGCTGTCCTGGAGTCTTTTGATACATATCCAGGAGGCTTTCGTTTAGGTGTCCAATCTAAATCCTTTCTCCTTTGCTGAGGTCCCAGTGAAAGGGAAAACACCGTGTGAAAGGTGTGTGGGCACGGGCATGGATGAGGCATGGCGGGGCGGGAACGGCAACTATCCAGGGTCCCCCAGGAGAGCAGGTGGGCTGGCATTGCAGCCACTCACCCTTCTGCTGCAGAGCCAATTGGCGCTTGGTCTCAATGTCCTGCAGCGTAGCTGCCAGGTTGCGTGGAAGACTGCCCGTGCCATTCTGGGTGAGCAGCGCACTCTGCAGAGGGAATGGAGCATTGGAACCTGAGCTCAGAAGACCCCATCCCAACCCCAAGGCTTTGGCCTCTCCCCAGCGCAGCAGTCTTATCCCCCACCACACACACGGCCCCCACCCTGTCCTCAGACCTTTGGGGAGGGGCTACGGCCCAGGGTAGCCACGCTGAGCTGGGAAGAGGAGGAAGAAGAGCCAGAGGAGGAGGGGAGGGGGCCACTGCGGGTCCGGGGCAGAGGGCTAGTGGCCTCGCCATCCATTTTGGAGCGGTAAACCTAAAGGGAAAAGATACTACCCAGTGACATCAGGCTCCCCCACTGGCCACCACCCCCATGTCACCTAGGCTGGCTGTGATCTGAGGTACTGCCCTGGCACCAGGCCTCTGAGGCTTTTTGGCTCTGTATAACAACAGGATTGAGCCTCCCAGGCCAGCCCAATGGGTAGATGCTGTTGGTAGCTGCCACGTCTCCTTTTTAGGCTGTTCTCTCTGGGCCAATCCCTGGACCACCCCTGTCCTTCTGAGAAGGACCTACACACAACTCAGGCAAGGTAGTCAGCTCGAGTGTGTAGGAGACCAGCTGGAGGCCAGGATCGCCCTGGTCTCAGCTCTGCCACTGAGTGACCTTGGCCCACGCACCTCCTCACTCTGAGCCTTGGCTTCCTGATCTTCAGAAGAAGAGGATAAAGCTAAATTAAATAATTGACAAGCTCCCTCACAGCGCTAATGTACACTAAACATGGTCTTTTGAGGCAAGAACCCTGACTCTAAGCATAAGCCCTGCTACTTTCTAGCTGTGTGGCCTTGGGAAGATTACCTCTCTCCTCCAGGCCCCAGTATTTGGCCTGTAAAATGCAAGCGCTCCTTCTGCCTCAGCCTCCCTAGTAGCTGGGACTGCAGGTGCCCACCATCACACCTGGCTAACGGTATGAATCTTGAATGGCGGAATATCGGCCACTACAGCAGGTCAGTGAAGGGAAACTTAGGGAAAAGACTACCTTAGCACCCTGTCCCCATCCTCACAGTCAGCTGCTTGACACTCCATGGCAACTCTGAGGCGCCCTGGGCTGTCACTCAGGAGTCTTTGTCCCCTTCTTTTCTGCCCCCAAGTGTCACCCCTGGGGAGATCAGAAGAACACAATACTAACAGTTCTTCTAGGACAAGCTCACTGTAAGTGTCACAAGCCCAAGAATGTGGACCCCGAAACTGAGTAAGAGGCTACAGCACTGGGGACGGCCAAGGACAGAAGAGACACATAGCCTAGGTCAGCACAGGGGACAAAACAAATCCCAGAGCCCCCTTCTACAGGACAGTCATGTCACCCTTGGACTCAGAGGGCTGGCGTTCCAGCCACAGAATGTGGCTGTGAAGAGACCTCCACTCCTTCACTGCCTTTTCAGGGACCAGAGCTCCCGTCCCTGCCTAGGCTGGGCTCCCCTATGCAGGTGGCACTGTGTAGCTGATGGATCTGCAGGAACTACTCAGAGAAGACAGCAGCAAGGAGTGGGGTGGATAGCAGTGAAGGAGGGGTTACCTGCAGCTGACGGGAAGCTTTGGCAGGCAGAGGCGGGGGAGAAGAGCGAGGGGAGGCTGCAGCGGGGCCAGTCCCCAGCCCGGCCATCAGCTCCTGGTACCACTGCTCTAAGTCTACAGCAGGGAGCAGCAGCTTCTCCATCTGGAGGAGGAGATAGGGAGGAGGACAGAGACAGAAAGGGAAGGATGGAGAGGAAAGGCCAGGAAATAAGGGGAAAGGAAAAGATAGGAAGAAGGGGAATGTTGGAGGCAGGGTAATAATGGAGGGCCATGTCAGGGAAATGGACAAAAGGTGAGGAAGGGGGGGGGCATAAAGAAAAGGAAGAGAAAAACAGTGAGAAAACAGTTCCCCAGAATATGCTAAGGGCAAAGAGAAACAGTCAGGGTACAACTCTCAGAGCACAGACACAGGTATGCCAGGCACGACACCAGCCACCAGCCAGAGCCACGGGCACTGAGCACTACCCTGGAGCTGGCCTAGAGCTGAGAGGCTGGGTCAGCAGGAGCAAAACACACACAGAGCATGCCATGGGGGTGGCATAAACTCACAGACCACCAACCTTGGGTAAAGGCGTGATGGCAGTGAAGGAGGAGGAGGGCAGCATGGGAGGAAGGCAGGTGGTGGGAGCTAGGTCCCGGGAGGCAGAGGCCCAGGGAAGCAGGCCTGGTGCATGGGCTGGGGGCAGAGGCGAGGAGCCCCACATCACCTTTAGCTGCTCAAGCGACATGTATTGGGGCAAGGCCGGACAGAGGCAGGAGGGAATAAAGAAGTTAATGGGGCTGAAATGCAAGAGATGGCCCTGCCCAAGGGGGAGGAGAGGGAGAGGATAAGAAGCACAGAGCAGAGACTTGCAGAGCCCACAAGGCCAGGAGAGCCAGTGTCCTCTCAGCATGAGGCCCTCATCCCAGAGCAGAAGGCCTGGCCTGCCCAGAGCCATGAGCAGCTAAAGAAAGTTCTCAAAGCCCCAGGAAAGAAAGGGAACCACCTTAATCCCCCCGATGCCAGCTGCCTTTCTTTCTCACTATTGAAGACAGACTCTGCTGTCCCACCTCCACCCAGGCCCAGGAGGGAATCTAGGGCAACCACAAGCAGGCCTTAGGCACTTGGTGGGCACCCTCAGTGGCTGGTACCTCGCTGTCAGGCAGGGGCTGGGCGAGCACACTGTGGGAGGTGGCAGAAGCATAGGGGTCCAAGCGGGAGCACAGCTGGAGAACCTCTGCCAGGCTCACATATTCCTAGGGTACCCAGTGGGAAGGGGAGGGAGGGACAGAGAAGAGATTAACAGGTTCACCCAGGTACCCAATACTCCACACTCCATGCCAGGCTACAGGGCCATCACTCCAAGTCAATACAAAATCCAGAGCAGGGATGGGGCACTCAGCTGCCCATTATGGCCACAGATGGCTGCGGGGGTAGCAGGGACCAGGAAAGGATGGGCAGAACTGATGGTCTGAATGAAGGCTCCTTCTGACCTCTTCTACTATGGGAGCCCCCTTAGCATCCAGTCCCTGCCCCAGGCAGACCCCAAAGGCTCATCCCTGGGTTCACCCTGAGCTGGAGGGAAGCAGAGAAGCCCAGGGCAGGCCTTTCAGGAACCCACTGAGGATCAGGACCCAGAGACCTCACAACTCCAACACCCTGGGCCTGACATCCCCGGTGGGGCACACACATGCAGCAGTGAGCACTGATCACCTCATTCCCCAGAGTTCCCTCACACCCCATCTGCCAGGGCAGGAGCTGGAAGTAGTGAGGGGAGGCGGAGATATCACCAGGGCCTGAGCAAGATGGGCTCTGAGAAACAGGCCTTAGCAAGGAGCAGCTAAAAGCCTGACAGAAAAATGGGCTCATCACTGCCCACGGTAAGTCCTGGGAAAGATGCTTTTGGTTGTGGGGTGGGAGGACAGAGACTGTCACATTAATCACATATCCTTAGAATCTGAGCTTATCTGGGTGCTGGGAGCACAGCAGACATCCGTAACGCCTGCTGAATCACAGCACAGGATCCTATGCCTACCCTGTGTCAGGTGCCCATCCAGGCCTAGCTCCGGAAACAGATTATCCTCTGGGCGTCACAGAAAAAATGAGCCAGAGAGTCCAGCATGTTGTGAGAACTGATGAATGACGTGCAGATTTAAGGCAAATTAATATGCAAATAGACACTCTGACTTTGCACTCTATGGAGCAGCAGGATAGCACAGGCACACGCTCTCCCAAACCCTGGCCAGCCAAAGGATTAGCACCACACGCCCTTCAGCGGGGCCCCAGGAGGAGATGTAAGCAAGAGCTCAGCGGGCAGGCGGTGGGCAAAGCAGAACACGCAGTTAGCTGTGGTTACCTCTTGTGCTTTGGGACAGAGTGGAGTAGAAGCAGGTGGGGTTAAGGGGACAGAGGAAGCCCCGGCCTGAGAAGACCCTGAGAATGGGCCCAGAACCTTAGTCCCCAGCTCCATCCCTGAGGACTCGGAGATGAGCAGCTCAGCCTATAGAGAGGGTACACGGTGAGGGGCTGTACCTGTCCCACTCAGCCCAGCCCCCCACCCCAAGTCTAAACTGTCAGCTAAGTGAGGCAGGGAGGGAGGGAAAGAGGTCAAGAAACCTGTATGTCTTACTTGGACCACACACCCAGGCTTGCAGACCTGGGAAAGAACCACTTACAGAGCCTCAATGCCCACTTCTTAAACAGATGCCTGACTCCAGACCAGTGACCCCGGATAAGCATCCCTAGATCCTCCACTCCCCCTCAAAGTGAGTCCATTCAGCCCTGCCCCCTGCCAAACCTCTGAGCGGTCCACCCACCCAGGACCCTGAGCACACCCACATAATTCAGTGAGATCAGTGGGCTCCTGGGAGCCCAAAAGGCAACTAAAAAGCAGCTGGTAGCAGGAAAGGTTAAATCCCAGATTTCACGGCTATTCCTCCTCAAATCTCTCTAGTTCAGGAAGATGACCCCGTACTCAACCTCGCACGGGGTAAAAGTGCCATGTATTGCTCCAGAGCCTTCCAGGACACCCCTGAGGACTGATGCTTGGGCTTGCCCAACCCTGTTACCTCTTTGAGGGTCGATGTGGTCTTCGGGAAAGGCCTGCCCCCTGTGAGTGAGTGGTATCTCCTTTCCAGCACGGTCAGTTTCTCTTTCTCCTGTGAGCCCAGGGTGGCAGGGTCAGAGAGGAATGGGAGTGAAGGCAAGGAGACCATGTGAGGCAGGCCCCTGTGGGGCCTCCACCCAGCCCTTCTGCACGCCCTCCCACCTATCCTACTCCGGACCCTCAAACCCAGCCCGGGCAAGGCTACCTTTTGTAATAACTGCAGGGAGGCATTCTTGTCACGGGCCAGGCGCTCCGACTCTTGCACGGCCTGGGCCCGGATCTGCCCGGCCTGACTGTCCAGGACTGCCAGGCGCTCCTACAGGACATGGGATGGTCAGTCAGCCCTGGCAAGAGAGGGCTGAGCCCAAGGTGAGGCCTGGCTGACTCTCCTGTCCAAAGACCTAGGGCTCAGGTAAAGGGGATCAACCAGCTCTTCTGCTTGGTCTCAACTCACCTCAGGAAAACTCAGGCCCCTCCCTCAACCAGTGACCCCCAAATCTCCAAATCTTCCTTCCCTTACCCCACAGCCTGTGGGTCTCACTGCACAGTTCTCCACCCACCCCATCCCCTCCATCCCACCCAAATCCAGCCCTGCACTTCTTGGGCTAGACTTCTGCTTCCACCCTCTCAACCAGGGGTCCTCAAACTTTTTTTTTTTTTTTTTTT